ACACTATCCTCTCCTTAGGTCAGCTGTGGAAATCTATTTCTTAGAATAGACAAAATATCAATGGAGCACAGCTAATCTACTGATTTATGGATTATAATTTATTGACATGTCATAATTGGCATAGAACACTAATTAAAAAGGCTGAAAGAAAATACTAGCCCTTAGGTATATGACATGCATATCCCCCCTTTTTATAAAAACACAGATACAAATGATTTATTCATAGATTCTTTTAACTCAGACTTACATAAAATTAAGACAAAACTGGGTTTCTGGAGAAGTCCAAGTGAATTCAGTTTTGGGGTTACTTATGTTCATTTTGTTTCTTGTATGCTTATTTCAAAGATGAGTTTTATGGCTGAGAGAGAGATAGTAATAAAATTATTGTCAAATTATTTCAGGAGTGTATTGTACACTTCACTCTTTCTTAGATCTCTTAAGCCCCTGTGGGTGGGTTTTACAGGCTTTTTTGACGCATAGGCTGTTCATAAATAAAGAAACTCTATAATAATAGTTTTCTTGAAATGTGTCACTTTTCACCCCTATTGAATAAAGAGAATTATAATTAGTCAGTAACATCTTAAAAAATACATGTACCCTTCCACAAGAAATTGTAGCCTTTTTTTCTGTTAAATTTCATCATCCTGTGTTTCCACATATTTTATTGATAATTATTTTGAAAGGGGCAGGTATGAGAGTGTTACCTTCCTGGAAAACAGAATGTTAAGATGAAAGGGCAACTGCAAGGAGGGGGAAAGTGTTATTTGTATACTTACGTTGTCATATTACGTTCCTGCTTTGTTCTAAGTGTGCAGCAGGAATAAAACTATAAGACTAATCATCGTTGAGTTAATCCCAAGTTGTGGTGCTCCACACGTGCCAAAGTGGAACAATGCTCCAGAGGGTTTTCGTCAGTGGCTAAGGTTTTGGAAGTAGATTTTCACGCCTTTCTTCTTAAGGCACCTTTGGCTGGACTCAAACCATCAACCTCCTCATTAGCAGTTGAGTGTGTTAACCATTTTCACCATCTAGGGCCTCCACTGCATTTTAGGTGACTTTGTATTACTCATTGATTTTTATGGAAAAGAAATTAATTATATTGTTTCCAAGTTGAACTAATTTCTCTTAAGGCAAGTCATTTATCCTAACAACAACAACAACAAAAATTTATCTTTTAAAAAATGAAACAAAACTCTCAGGTTAACTGGACATTCTCTGCTCCAAATACTGCTGTGTTTTGTTTTGTATTTATTTGGTTTTGAAGCTAGTTTAAGTCTACCTTGGGTAATAACATAAGCTCTATTATTTAGAATTTTATTAAGCAGACTTCATCAGTCCTATGACTGATGTTCACATGATGACCTGAGATGACTACAAAGTTCCAAAGTGTTGTAACTGTCCCTTCAGCCTAGGATAGTGGTGGGTCCAATTCAGTGCTTTATGTTTTTCAAAAATTACTAAGCCATGTGGTTGATATCTCAGGCCAAATAGCATGTTTACTCTGCTGATTTCGGTTTCCCTTTGTTTATCAGATACATAAGCCATGAACAAAAGCTTGTTAGAAAAACATCTCCTGAAAAAGTAGCATTTGACAATTGTAGAAATTATATTTTTGAAGTCCTTTTTTTTTCTTTCTTCTATGAGGACTGTATAGGTCTGGTTTCTCCCGATTACTCTCTTGATAATGGGATTACCCTCTCAGATATTTTTTTCGATGTCACTGGTTAGAAAGCTATGCCCTTGATACCTTCTGCCCAGGTCCATGGTTTCTGGAACACAAGGACCTATGTGTAACCTGGATTGTAAAATAAGCTGGTGTTGACATCTGTGTCCACAAGGAAGACTGAAAAGATTTACCCACTGGAAGTGTGTTGAAATGCAATTAAATGTCTGAAAAGCTTTCTGTATGTCATTGGTGGGCATGGGCAATGACAAAGCAAAATGTTATTGCAAGTCTAAACTAAAACCAAAATTGAATCTCCCCCGCCCCTAAAAGGGGTGATAAGGATTGTCTGAGGAAGAGATGTGCAAAATGCTGGATCTCTGTGTTAGACTTAACTGCTAGCATCACATACACACTTTATATTGTGACTGTAGACATCTTAGTATTTATTTTGTAAATACCCACACTTCCTTAATGGTTGCTCCCACAGGACAAATTGAAAGCTTTCTTTCTACTTCTGTAAAGATAATTGTTTTGTTTTATATGTTAGCTTTTAATTATACTCTTAGGTTAATAGTCACTGGTTTTATTTTTAAATCAGACAATAAGTTGTTTTTAAAAACCCTTTAGGGTTAACAGTATGGAATTAAATTAATACATATTATTAAGAGCATTGAATTAGATGGAAAGCACCCTGTATTGTGCCTAATCTATACTATGTACTAGGTGCTTTGCAAAATGGAATTCTCTATGAATCCACATTTTCATTGTTGTAGTCTTTCTACTGGAGCTGCTGGTTGTCAGTATCACACAGTCTTCATCTTTTTTCAATTTAAATCACAGTGACTCTTGTCAGATAGTCCAGGTGAAGGGAATTACATCATGTTATCCCAGCACCAATACAAAATGATTTTTTTTTTAAATTGTCTAGTAGTAAAGCCAATAAAACTGAGCTAAATGTTCTTTTCTCATAAGCTTTCTGGGAAAGTCATTTATATGAATGTATATGAAATAGTCTCAAATATTTCCTATGAACTCTATGGTCATATAATTTTTTTTATATGTTTAGAGCTATTGTTCACTTTTGAAAGTTTACAAATTTCCATGTTTCTGTATATTTATCATTTGCAATAAAAGAGTGTTCAGTTATGCTTTCAGGTGTTTAATTGCTCAAGAAACTAATGTGTAACTAATAATAAAAAGTATCTCCATTTCAGTTTTGAGGGGAATTAAAAAAGCAGCTTCAATGAGGTTAATTTTGCTTTTTTCATGCTCCTTGAAATTTAAGTGTTTAAGAAAAATGTTGCTCACAGAACTGCTTTCACGGAAAAAGCGATTTGGCACATGAACAAATAGTGGGTGAAGCTGCCTTTTTTTTTTTTTAATTGAGTCAGGAGCTCAAAGAAGTCATTGTAAAGGGATCTCCTTCTGGCTAAGTCATTAAAACGAAAGGGAGAAAGGACACATTATAAAGGTATCTTGTAGCTGACTTCACCGAAGTTGAAAGGACCTGAATTTCCCTCCAACACCTGTGATAGGAAATCTTCACTCCTCTGCTCACTCACTGCACCACCAAGTCTATCAATTTTCCATATTTGGATTTAGGCTTCTGTTTGGGAACAATGTCCTGGTTTCTATGAAAATGAACTGTACAAAAATCTTTCTTGTTTCTCTCTCCTCTCTCCTCCACCAAATAATAAATACATGAGGAATCAAAATATGATACTCCCTCAAATTAATATACCTAGGGCTGGAATGAGGACCACAATTGTAGTCTCCCAGTGCCCAGATTTTGCTCAGTCCACAGAATGAAGGAAGGTGTTCTAAAGGGTTTAGACAAATGAAGTCTGCTAGACCTAGGAATCCAGGAGCTCTGGTAGCTTTGTGGTCGTGTGCGCCATCGAGTCAGAACTGGTCCATGGCTGCCCCTCCAGCGGGTGTTCAGAGGCACTAAGTCACACGGGAGGAGATTGCCCATCCTCCTTTGCAGAGCAACTGGTGGATTCAAAATGTACCTTAGGGATTTCAGCTTCTTAGCACTAGATCACCAGAACTGGTGCCTTAGTGGGAAGGAATTGTGCTGCCAATCCAAAGCTATGTGGTTTTGAATCCACCAACTACTTTGCAAGAGAAGGATGGGCAATCGGCTGTGTGATTTACTACCTCTGAAAACCCGTGGGAAGGTCAGCTATGGGGTTGGTTCAAGAGGTATCATATCTTAACCCCAATAAACCTGATTGCTCAATAGAATCAAACGGAAATCACTACC